CAAATAAGAGGGGATTTTCACATAAAGGTTGCAAATAGATGGAGTGAAAAGAAACGAAAGAAAAGCTGTATTTTGAGGAAAAAATAGTTTGAGAAATTTGAAAATAAACAATGAAATAAACAAGTAAAAGAGAGGGGGGTCCTAGGTTTATAAATAATATGGATCACCCCACACAACACCCGGTAATCACTTATACACGTGGTGTTATCGTGTGGTCATCATATCCATATCTACCTTTTCCCACCCCGTTAAGGTACTAAAGCGCGGAATAGTCTCGTTTACTTATTGCATGCTATTACCCGCCCCAAATCTATCAATCCCGGAGGTATTTGGGATTACTAATCCTAAAGGGAGGGGACATTGGCTTATTTGTGGTTTCAAAAGGTTAAAATACTAAGGCGACAATCAAAACACATATAGCAAGTTTGGGGGAGAGCATATAAACAAATAATAAGGCTCAGAAAAACCTCCTTAAACCAGAGAAAACACATAGTTTAGCATGTCTTACACGTACTGTTTAAGGTCTAAATAAAACTTAAAAGGAATTGGTGGTAGACTGATTTATTACATAGTTTAGATAAGAAGCCCGAATCAGGCCTGCCTGCTGGTTGTAGTTAATAAAATCTGGTTCAGTTTATAAGTTTATCCTGAGGCTTGCCTAAGTGATAGACGAAACCTATAGGCATGATATCTACTAATTTCAGAAACAAAAGAAGAAAAACTGATTGCAAATTGATTTAGGTAAAAAGAAAGTTGCCAGAAAAAACGAGCACTGGTTTTGCCATTGGTAATGCCAGTTTTAAACTTATAAACGAATGAGGCGATTTAGATTTGAATTAGAACCCATATAGGCATGCTTTCTATGTGTTTGCCAACTTAAAACTTTGTTATAGACATAGAAGAATGCAGAAATTCTACAACATGATATCTAAGCGTTGCGTATCTGATTACATTTTTGGCTATTAGGGCTTATAGATAAGTTTGCCTAGTGAAAAGCGGGTATGCAAGAATCAGAAAAGACCTATAGGCATATTCTCTACGTGCGTGTGCAGAAGCTATAGACATAATATCTACATGAAAAGTGCAGAATCCCTATAGTCATGGTATCTAAATGAGAATGCAGAGTTTCTTATAGACATGATAGCTAAATGAGATGCAGAAATCTATAGGCATGNTCATATGGAAAATGAAACAAAAAAGAAAAATCAATAAAAATCAAAATCCAAAATACGAGTTTCCTTCATTTTGAAGTATTTTTCCAAAAACAAAAATCCAAAAAAAACAGAAACAAAAATCAAAAAAAAAAAACTACTCCTTAGATGTCTTTCTTTCATAAATGTCAATAAACAAAATTTTGAAAAATTGAAGTCCAAAAATATTTTCGCTTTTCTTTAGAATTACTTTTGTAATTAAATAAAAGCTCAGAAATTCAAAATATTTTTCTTAAAAAGTCCCTCTTTCGAAAATTAAGAGGTTACATCAAAAATCCAAAAATATTTTCTTTCTTCTTTAGAAAAAGAGAAAACAAATGAAAATTCAAACAAAAAATATTTTTTTTTTTACTTTTGAAATTCTCAAAGTTCCAATCAAAAGAAAAGGAATTTTTAGAAGTCTTTCTTTCAAAAATAAAATCAAAATCAAAATCAAAAATCCAAAAAAAAAAATCCCTTTTTTCTTTTAAAGCATTTCTTTCGAAAATTTCAAAAAAAAAAATCAATAAATATTTTTCTTAAAGCTTTCATGGTCTGAGTTTTAGAAAAGTAAAAAAAAAAGAGTTAGTTTATTTATTTTATTCCCAATCTTCCTGAACTACGCAAGATCTGATTCATGCGGGGTCATGATACGTAGGCAATCCCCATCAGATTCGATCATAGCCATAAAATTAACTGAGTGAAAAAATAAACTGAAAAAAAAAGAGAAAAGGAAAATTGAGTGAAAAAAAAAGAGAGAAAAAGAAAAAGAGAGAAAAATTGAAAAAGAAAAGAAAAAGAGTGAAAAAAAAAAGAAAAAAAAGAGGGAGCAACAAGAAAAAAAGGGTGACAAACAAAAGAGAAAAAGAGAGTGCCAAAAATAAAAGAGTGGCAAAAATGAGATAAATGAAAAAATCAAGAGTGATTAAAGAGAGGCAGAAATGAAGAAAAGAGGTACAGAGTGAAAAGGGTTAGTTAAGGCCGGGATGAAATATGCAACCGTTCAAACACACGGTAGAAGCATTTAACTGTTAGGTGCATTGCATCCCAACATGCGATTTCCTATATGTTAAATGTTTCAAAGCTAACAAGTTTGTTGGTGTGAGCAAATTAGCCAGGTTCTATTCAAGTGGTTGGTTTTGTTAGTATGCGGTGATGAATGCGCAACCTTGCTCGCGGCCACAACATTATACACAAAATCGAGCTCCACTTCCCAGAAATGCCCATCCTTACCAAGCTCCATGCAATCCCCAATCAAATGTTCCCCAGTACAATCCTCTCCCAAAAGAGCCTTTTTAAAAGGAATCACTTCACCCCTTATTGGCGAATCATACTCGGGCTTGTTCCAAAAGCTAGTCAGGCGAGGTCTGCTGCATCCAGTGGCCCCAAACCGGCCAAACCCCGAGTCCCCCTCGCACCGAGCCGATGCTAGATGTGAATACCACTCTGGAGCAGTGGGGCACAGTACAAAGGACTGTTGGACCAGAGGGCAGTTGAAGACTTGATTGAAGCTGAAAGAATCATTTTTCGGGATGAAGAAACTCCTGATGTGATCAACAATCTGTTGCCTGCCCACAACATCGGCCCAATAGTCGGAATGATTTGTGAAGCCGAGGAATTTGATCCGGCACTAAAGGCCATTGCAGCCATGGCCAAAAAAGAAGAAAAGCTGAAAAATAGTCGCCAAGCCTGAAAGTTCCCCATCAGATGGGAGTCTCGGTAGCCAGTCTTGCCATCCTTTCTGCAGCCGGATTATCTCAGGGTGTGATCCGGATGTTTTATTCTATTGTCTTACTTTCTGATCTAAACCCTTCTCTCTTCAAAAATTGAAAAAAAAAAAAAAAATCAAATGAAATTAATATTTCATTGTCCAGGAATGTCTCTTTTCTTAATCTTGTTGTTTTTCTTATTCTCTTTTCAGTTCAGTTAAATGCAGAAATCAATAACATGACATGCTTGTGGACTTCATGCCCAGATTCAAACACGCTGTCTAACTGCGAAATAATGAACCAAGCACCGGAATATGATGAAGAAGAGCCTTTTAGGGAAATAAATCGAGAATTGGAACAATTTGAGAATAAACCTAAGCGGAACTTAAATGATACTGAACCGGTCAATTTGGGTAGTGCTGAAGAATTCAGGGAAACCAAGATAAGCATTCACACAGATGAGAAAACTCGGAACGCATTGATCCAACTCTTGTTTGAATTCAAAGATGTATTTTCTTGGTCATATGATGACATGCCAGGACTGAGTGTCAATTTAGTGGTTCACAAGTTGCCAACTTACCCCAATCATCCCCCTGTCCAACAAAAGCAAAGAAAGTTTAAAATCGATATCAGTGACAAGATTAAAAAAGAGGTCACAAAACAGTTGAAAGCGCAGGTGATCCGAGTGGTTCGATACACCACATAGTTAGCCAATGTAGTTCCAGTGTCAAAGAAAGACTGGAAAACCCAAGTGTGTGTGGATTACAGAGATCTGAACAAAGCAAGTCCTAAGGATAATTTCCCGTTGCCGAACATCCACATCCTTGTTGATAACTGCGCCAAACATGAGATACAGTCCTTCGTGGATTGTTACGCAGGATATCACCAGGTGTTGATGGATGAAGAGGATGCAGAAAAGACAGCTTTTACCACACCCTGGGGCACATACTGTTACAGAGTCATGCCTTTTGGTCTGAAGAATGCCGGGGCAACCTACATGAGGGCCATGACTGCCATTTTTCGCGACATGATGCACCAAGAGATAGAGGTGTATGTGGATGACGTGATCATCAAGTCCAGGACCCAGGATGACCATGTTTAGGATTTGAGAAAATTCTTTGAGCGGCTGCATAAATATGATCTGAAGTTAAACCCAGCCAAATGTGCGTTTGGAGTACCGTCAGGCAAACTCTTGGGATTCATAGTCATTCAGAGAGGCATCGAGTTAGACCCAACCAAGATAAAGTCTATTCGGGATTTGCCTCCTCCGAGAACCAAGAAGGATGTGCTGAGCTTATTGGGCATATTGAACTACATCAGCCGATTCATTGCTCAGTTGACATCCACGTGTGAACCCATATTCAAGTTGTTGAAGAAAGATGCGGAAATTAAATGGACAGACGAGTGCCAAGAAGCTTTTGATAAAATCAAAGAATACTTGTCGAACCCGCCAGTCTTGGTCCCACTAGAACCGGGAAGGCCTCTGTTTTTGTATTTAACAGTCTTGGAGAATTCTTTTGGTTGTGTCCTTGGACAACATGATGTGACCGGGAGGAAAGAGCAGGCGATCTGCTATTTGAGTAAAAAGTTCACAAGCTATGAGGCTAAATATACTCTGTTGGAAAGGACTTGTTGCGCTTTGACCTGGGTAGCTCAAAAGCTGAGGCATTACTTGTTGCCTTACACCACTTACCTCATCACCAAGTTGGACCCTTTAAAGTACATATTCCAGAAACCATTGCCCACAGGAAGGTTAGCAAAATGGCAGATCCTGCTCACTGAATTTGACATGGTCTATGTCACCCGCACGGCGATGAAAGCCCAGGCTTTAGCAGATCATTTGGCTGAAAACCTGGTTGACGATGAATACCAACCTTTGAGCACCTACTTCTCGGATGAAGAGGTAAATTCAGTTGAGGAAATATCTGAAGATACTAATGCTTGGAAAATGTTCTTTGATGGAGCGGTAAACTCAAAAGGTGTTGAAATTGGGGCAATCTTGATTTCACCCACTGGTCAGCATTATCCAGCCACAGCGCGGCTCCGGTTTTTCTGCACAAACAACATTGCTGAGTATGAAGCCTGCATTATGGGTATGAACATGGCAATTGACCAAGATGTCGAAGAATTATTAATCATGGGAGACTCAGATCTAATTATCCGACAAGCTCAGGGAGAATGGGAGACTCGAGATGTCAAACTTATTCCCTACAGGCAACATGTGGAAGATCTCAGCAAACGTTTCAAGTCAATAGAGTTCAGGTACATCTCTTGTTGTCACAATGAACTAGCTGATGCACTTGCTACTTTAGCCTTGATGCTTCCATACCCAGGCAATGCCCACATTGATCCCTTGGAAATCCAAATCCGGGAAAGGCACGGTTACTCTAATACGGTTGAGGCAGAACCAAATATTCAGCCATGGTATCGTGACATCAAAAGATTTCTGAAAACTAAGGAATACCCCGAGAAGCCAGTGGAGACCAAAAGAGGACCATTAGATGACACGCAAGTGGTTTCTTCTTGAGCGGTGATGTCTTGTACAAAAGGACTCCTGATCTCAACTTGTTAAGATGTGTCGACGCTGAAGAGGCCGGGAGAATCATGTATGAAGTGCACGCAGGAGTGCGCGGATCCCACATGAACGGGTATGTTTTGGCAAAGAAAATCCTCCGAGCGGGTTATTATTGGATGACTATGGAAAAAGACTGCTTCAGTTTCGTCCGGAAATGTCATCAATGCCAGGTGCACGGTGATTTGATTCATGCACCGCCTACAGAACTGCATCCCATGTCAGCACCATGGCCATTCGTTGCTTGGGGCATAGATGTCATTGGGCCGAAAGCTTCAAATGGACACAGATTCATACTGGTCGCCATCGACTATTTCACGAGGTGGGTTGAAGCAATCACACTCAAATCTGTCACCAAGAAAGCTGTGGTAGATTTCGTGCACTCCAATCTTATCTGCCATTTCGGTATCCCTGCAACTATCATCACAAATAATGCTGCAAACTTGAATAGTCATTTGATGGGGGAGATATGCGAACAATTCAAAATAACGCATCGGAACTCTACTCCTTATCGGCCTAAAGCCAATGGTGTCGTCGAAGCAGCAAATAAGAACATCAAAAAGATTTTGAGAAAGATGATTCAAAGTTCCAGACAGTGGCATGAAAAGTTGCCTTTTGCATTATTGGGTAGCGCACTACGGTGCGCACATCGGTCGGAGCAACCCCGTACCTATTGTTTATGGCACCGAAGCCGTAATACCCGCGGAAGTAGAAATCCCTTCTCTCTGGATTATTGTTGAAGCTGAAATTGAAGACAATGAGTGGGTCAAAACCCGTTTGGAACAGTTAACCCTGATCGATGAAAAGCGAATGGCCGCAGTCTGCCACGGGCAGTTGTATCAATAAAGAATGGCCCGTGCCTACAACAAGAAAGTGCGGACTAGAAATTTTGAAGTGGGACAACTCGTTTTGAAGCGTATTCTTTCCTATCATCTGGAAGCAAAAGGAAAATTTGCTCCTAACTGTAAAGGTCCATACATTATTCGAAAGTTGTTGCCAAAAGGGGCATTGTATCTTGGAGACATTGAAGGGAATGACCCTGAAACAGCTGTGAATGCGGATGCAGTCAAAAGGTATTACGTCTAATCCTTCTGCAGCAATACCATTGTCTGATTGGGATGATGAAGGCTTTTATCCTCGCTACCCTAAACACTCCAATCTTTTGCTAACCCTTCAAGCCGGTTACCTTTCTTTCATTACCCTCTTTGGAACTCGAAGACGTTTAAAAAAAATGAAAAATGGAAGATGAAAAAATGAAATGATGAAAAAAAAGCAGAAAAAGAAAACAAAAGCAAAAACAAAAACAAAATGTTTCCCTGAACTACGTTCGACTTGATTCCGAAAGGATACGTAGGCAGCCTCTCTCTAGGGTTCAGTCACAACAAAATAAAATCCAGTTTTCCCCCCAAAAATGAAACTGGGGCAGATGTTATAATGGTTCAGCGATGATCCCGCCTAAACGGTTCCAAAGTTGTAATTCGATCCTATTATTTTACCCAAACCTTGTTCAAGTCCTTCCGATCAATCAGCGAAAGGTTTTCAAAATCAGAGAACGCAGCAGTTTGGATCCGATGCAACCGAGATGAGAGAAATAAAATGAGAGAGTCTTATTGGTGAAAACCCACGAGCACCATGAGGCGATGGTAAGCAGAGAAATTGAAAATGAGAGAATCTTGTTAGTGAAAACTCGTAAGAGAGGTCGATTGGCGAAAACCCGCAAAGGGCGCCGTCGATCGAAAAGAAGAAACCATTCACCACCACGGGTATTGAAAGAGTCCTGGAAAGGTTTCTCAGTCTTAAAACACGAGTCGCAATGGGTTTATGAGAAGTTGGATGGTTGTGCAAATCGGGTATCCAGTCCAAGAAGCATGTCATGTTTATTGAAGTCTGCATGCACCCCAGATAAGTCCGTCTTTCCTCCCCGAAAGAGACACTTCTCCTTAAATTATTTTTCTTGTCCTATGTTTACTTTTCCTTGAATCCCTTTCGGTCTAACTCTGTTTCGAGACTAATACAAAGAAAGGTGCAAGATTTGGTTTACTAAGTTTCGCTTAAATAAACGTCCAAAAGAAACGTACCCAGCCT